TCTGCAGTGCTTCCTGTACATACCAGTTGTGCCATTTTTCTTTGTGGAGGCTTCTGGGGTATTAACAGGCAAGAAAGGAGAGACTGTGGCACACAGTGAGACAGAGATTCCCTGTTCTGCCAGAAAAAGTCCAGTTGGTGCCAAGATAGTAGGCCTAGGATATTACCAGGACCTGGCCCTTGCAGAAATGAACAGAAATTTGATGTTTCACTTACTTCAAGACTTAAAGCTCAAGCCAGAAACAAATGATAATCAATCACAAAATGAATACTTTATTATACCATGTTGAATAGAGCTTTCAAATGAACAGAATGCCTCCTTTCCTCATATTAACAAGGTATAGAGAACTAAATTTGGTGAATAGAGAACTAAATTTAATAGCTCTGGGAGGTTTCATCCAGTTCTTAAGACTTGACGAACCTGTGTTTCAGGGCTGCTACAACTGTGCAGTGTACAACCTGCACAATGGTATAGGTGGTCTTTCTTTCTCTTGTAAGACTCTACCAGTCATGTATCTTAACTTCTGTATCCCCTGCTGAGTCCAGGAGGACACTACTATCTGATCCTTTAGACCCCTCAATTCCATGTTTTATTTGATGTTCTAAAATCACTGATGAAGCTGCTCAATATTTTCAGAAAAGAAGCTGGTTTCTGGGTCTAAGAGATATTTATGCTCCTCTTTCTCAACCTGCATTTAATTATTTCAACACTATGAGAGTAATCTTATGTCTTTTAGCTCTAAGTTCTAGCAGGAAGGGGAGCGATCTGCTTTCATTTCCTGTATGTACAGGCATAGGGGATTAAAAGTTCCATAGACTCCTGGTCTCTTTTGAGGTAACATGGAAAAGTGGTCATGAATAGAGGCTCTGGAGCAGGCCTGCTTGGGCTGGAATCCTAGTCCAAGTTTGTCCTTCTGTAAAAAGAAGGCATAATAGCACCTCACAGGATCATTATGAGGACCAAATACGTTAATACATGTAAACTGCTTACAACTGTGTCAGACACAATAACATTCAGTAGGTGTTAGCTAATGTTATTTGGTTGTACTATGTTCTATTTTGTTTTATTATATTATCTTATTATTCTCCTGTATTCTATCATACTCCTCTATTAACCTATTTAATATTCCTCCCCTATTACCTGTATATTATACACCTAAATTTAGTAATAAGAAAGCAGTTTGGTGCATGTAGTTGTGCATGTATATGTATGCGTGTAAGGGTTAACTCTTTAAAGACAGCCGTAAAAAAAAAAGAAACTGAGAAGGGCATATTATTAGGTCCCTGTTGCTACTATAACAAATTCCTACAAACTTGTAGCTTAAAAACAATACAAATTCATGATCTTACAGTTCTGGGGGTCAGCAATCTAAAAAGAGTTGGCAGGGCTGCATTCTTTCCAGCTGCTCTAGGGAAGAACCATTCCTCTCCCTTTCCAGCTTCCAGAGGCTGCACACATTCCTTGGCTTATGGCCTCATCTCTCCAGCCTCTGTTTCCTCTGCTTCTGTTCACACCTCCTTCTCTGATTCTGATCCTCCTGCTCCCTTTCCCTTATAAGAACCCTTGTGGTGACATAAGGCCACCCAAAGAATTCCAGATAATCTCCCCATTTCAAGATCCTTAATAACATTTGCAAAGTCTCTTTTAGCCTATAAGGTTATTCACAGGATCCAGGGACAGGAAGTAGACATCTTTTGGGTGGCATTATTCTGCAGACCACAACGGAAAAGCACTGGATGATCCTTAACATCATTTGAGCCAGTGGTACACAACTGGGGGAGACTCTGCTGTCCTGAGGGGATGATGGCAATGTCTGTAGACATTCTTGGACTGTCAAAACTTGGGAGGGGAGTGCTTCTAGGTTTAGTAAGGCTGCAATGCAATGGAAGACAGAGAATTTAGATTTACACGGAGAAGTGTGAGAAATTACATACAATCTCTATAACTCCATGTTTTTGACAATTTAATATGGGAAATAAGAGATTAATAATATTACTCACATGTTAATAGCAGGGTTTTGAACACTGCTTTAACTTGTTATGTGTTAAATAGTGTTTGTTTTATTTTAGGTTTGGTGTAAACTTTCATAGTGATTGATGCATTTATACATTTCATATACAGGCAATTTAAATTAAAGTATGTATTACAAACATCACTTTCGGTATTTTATAAATATTTAACTTATAGATGCTTAGATTTAAAGTACCCAACACCAAACAGATTTCAAGATGGTTCACAGCCTTCTGTAGTATTTTATTGCTACCTTGGTATGGTTTGACTTCTATTCCCTGACTTCAAAAGATCAAAACTAGAGAAGTATATTTGCCATGACATTCCCTTCATAGGGAGAAAGATGTAAGTTAGAACCAACTTTCTGTTAATGAAGCACTTGGGTATCAATAACTACTTTTCCAATTCGCAAGAATTTCTGTGCATGCGTTGAATTCCATCAGTCTTTTAAAGTAATCTTTAGAACTGCTGGTGGGGGACTTAACAATGTTTCCAACATCTTTTTTTTCCTTTCCATCTGATCCACTCTTCTCACTGTCTCCCTTTTGTTACTGCTTTTTTCTTTCCAGGTTTCCCCTAGAGTTTTTTTCATTCACAGCATCTTCTAAAAGCAATAGCTCTATTTTCTATGGCAGAAAAGATTTCCTAACCAACACACAGCATATGACTGTGTGGTATGTGTCTATGGATGTGAAGACTCACATTCATAAGATGTGAGTTTCATCTTCACTTTCCTTCCCCAAGAATAACAGGAACTATGCATATGGACGTATTCTAAAAGCTTGTGAACAGACAGAGCAGAATGAAGAAAAACACACTACGAATCAGCAACATTGTTTACCACTGAAGCTATTTCTATTGTATACATTTCTCTACAAGGATACATTTCTGCAAGGCGCTTTACATTTGGTGTGATTTCTAAGCTACAATTTAAGGATATACACATTTTAATGAGTTGAAACTTGCCAAGCACTATAAAGAAAGCCAAAGCCCTGTCCTAAACATTAAGTCTCATCTAAGCTTCCAGATTCCAAATATTACATTGTTAGTTGGGGTGGCTACCACTAGAGGAACCTGCCCAGATCTCTATGCTTACTCGTCATTTTCTTCAAAAATAAAATGCAAGAAAAAAGAAAACAGAAAATGAGAGGGAGAAGAAAGGAGAGTGTGAGAAAGAACCTATATAGATTGACACACACTGAGTGTGTTAAGAATAGAGAGACATGCAGGCAATTAGAGGTCAATATGTACATGGGGGTTTCTGGAAACAGGACAGGTATGAACATGTAATTGGACAGGTGGTAGAGAGGAAGGAGGGTAAGAACTTGGGGAAGGAGTAAAGGGTAACTTTGACAACTTGGGCACATACCACCTCTGGCACAGTGACCCTGGATTCTCCCAGCCAAGATACCTGTACAGCCATTTCCCTGGGGAATAAGGAAACTTCTTTGGTTTCTGGGAAAGCTCTTGGGTGGGCAACGGACTGTTAGTATGTTAGGCAGCAAATGGCTGATGTCCCAAAAAGCTGCCCACGTGTCCCAGGTATACTGAGTGCACTGAGATCCAGAACCACCACCACCACAAAATCAAAAAGCAATACAGGAACACAAATGTCACATGTTCAGGGTATTAGACCATAACCTAAAATCCCAAGATATTTTGCCATCAGTATTTTGCAAAGGGCAGTGAATAACAAAAATCCAGAAAAGAACATGCACTAGAAATTGGTTAAAAATCATTTAGGACCAGTTATTGCTTGGAAGAAATGTGACATCAGAAAGAAGCTGACTTCAATAGCTCTATACCCTTCTCTTTTCCCTCCTCTGACTCTTATTTTCCTTCTGCTCTAATTCTTCATGTCCTCCTAACAGCCCTTACACCTCTTCTATTCTTCTGGGAATTCAAACAATCCAAAGCTTTGGCTACCACCCCGGGGCAGATCCTGAGACCCCCCCATGCGTGATCTTCTGACAACCCATCTCTGCCTTGCTGCTGTCACCTCCACTTGGATATTGCCTCTGGCTAAGACCCAGCATATCCAAATCCATATTAATCCCATCCCTCCCTAAAACAGACTGACTTCCTAGCTTCTCTATTTCTGTGTGTGCTAAATCCCTTAGGTTTTAAAACTTGGCGTCATTCATAACATTCACATCTCTCCTTTCCAAGTTAGTTCTACTGAGCCATGCCATTCTCCCTTCGTGTCTCAGAGCTTCTCTTCCCGCCACAGGCCGACCTCCTCAACCCACACCTGCATTCCAGGAGCAGCTCCACCCTGCCTCCTCTCTCTGGCTATCTCTTTTCACTCAGTTCACCAAGCCTAGCTCTCCCAAAATTATCTTCCAACTTCTACCTTAACCAGGTGATCCGTTTAGGAAAATATCCATTTTTTTCCTTTATTACAACGTCAAAGCTAAACACGGATTTCCAAAGCTCTCTATGATATGCCCTATCACCCAAAGGCTACATTTTCACTGATTCTCAACCCCATGATTTATTCCTATTATTCTTTCTCCTTGTTTGGAATTCTCTCTTCTGTATACCTCCACTTCTAAATCCTAGGCCTGCTTCAGGGCTTCTCCCAAATTTCAATGTCCCCTGCTGGCTTTACATGACTACATGTCACTCCTTCCTTAGTTCTTACCCCTCTAAGGATTTACATTGAGAAATTTAGCAATGATATAATGTTTACAACTTCAGTGTGTTGATTTTCTTACTCCAACTACATGGCAAGCTCCATTAAACTAAAGATATAATTCTCTACTGCCCTACCATATACTCTAGGGCTAAGAAGAGTGATTCCTTTTTAGAATAAACAAGTTAATTAATCTACTACTTAAATGCATTTGGGTTTTCCTTGACTATATATATGTGATCTATAATGAATAAAAGTATAAACAAAGCAAATGTAGAAGTGTATCTATTAGCATTTGATTTTTCAATGTTATACATAAGTATAAAACTATTAAATTTAAAAACCATCTTCTTACCTGATTTTATGCAGTCTGACGACTTGCAAATACCATCTAGAAAAATGAGGGTATATGCATAAATATTTGCAATACATTTTTCTAATTTCTCCCTATCTATTGTTCTTTTAAAATCTGCCAATTAAAAAATCAATTTCTTAAAGGAAGAACTAAACCCTGACTATTGCATATCATTGTCAGTAGTTAGAAAAAGTATAGAGAGGAATAAGATGGGCAAATCCTAAATTTAAAATTGTCATCATGAAGAAAAAAATGTATTTATTATATTATCTTTACCCATAAGGCTCTAGGTCTATTAAATTGAAATAACCAGCTGTCTTAGTCTGGTAATCATTTTTTTTTCCTCATTAAGGGACCAATCTTTTCTAATCCTTATTGTAAAAATCTTCTATGACTCAAATTAGACCTCCTCTTAAATTCCGATAGAGCCCTTTAGAATTTCAATGACACAACAAATGTGTCTAATTGAAGTTGGCCGTAAAATTGAGCATACTTTAATTAAATAAAATTATATATTAGAATCCTCATAAAATAAGCATGAGTTCACTAAATATACTTGGTAACTCATAACTTAGCTCAAACATAAAAGACACTGTACTTTTAGTCAAAGTTAATTGTTTTGACATATTGATGTTACATTTTATAAATGAATCTTCTTATCACCATCTTTAAATGCATCTCTCCTTAACACATTCATTTGGTAGATGGGAAAAGCCTAAGATGAAGATTTTACTCTCTTCCGCATTTATGGGTGCACGGGTGTGGGAATAACTCACCATCATAGGTTGCATAGAGTGCTATCATTGTCACAGCGATGATGGTGAGGAGCAGGACAAGGACAGAGAGGCTGATCTCCAACGGGGTCCATCGCTGTTTCTTCTTTGGCTTCGGAATGTTGATATCAGTTATATCCATCTGACTTTCTGATCTGCCCATCACCTAAAATCTGCAAAGATTTTTAAAAATACTTTTAAATACTAATAGTAATGAATTAAGAAGTAGGTAAAAAGAAGAGGAAATATATAAATGGTTTCCTACCTGCTTAATGTGGCTGAATAAAAGTAAAAGATGAGTTTATTTTAGTGAAGAAATAAAAATTCTGGTTGAAAGTCAAACTTTTGATTCTGAAAAACGGAGAGTACAGAGGCAGATGAATTTGACAGGTCCTCATCACAACCTTCTGTTTGGCTTTAAATACATCACTGAAGATCCAAGCGAAATTAGACAACGACACCTGGTTATATCCTCATGGAGGATTCCTTCAGCAGTCCACAAACAAGGGAGTGCAGTGCCATCACTAAGGGAAGTTTTAAAAACTCTTAGACAGTGCCAAAGGTGAATTTTATAACTTGCTCCAGTGGCTCCCTTCATAAGCTTGGAAATGAATGACTAATACTTTGGGTTTTGACTAAGCAATAATTTGAAATATGGATACAGATAAAAACAAAAGTAACAAACACATGTGATAGTTTATTTTTAGTCTTAAAAACAACCATTATTTTTACAGTTCAACTACTGCTGATATGGATACCTATCAACTGGTTAGACAATATTCTGCAAATGGTCACTCACTGGACCAAAAGTCAGTGGTTGAGACTTCGAGATGAAAGATATGAATCATAATCAACATTTCATTATGCAACTGAAGGAGAAAAAATATACAGCTAAAAAATTCTATCTTACAGGTCAGGGTAGCAACTGTTAAGACACTTATTTAACATATTTAAATTAATAGTAATACTTTTACTAATTACAACTGACATTTATTGAGTACACTCCATGTGTCAGCCAACATCATACAATAAAAGCTACTTTAGATCTTATTGCAGAAGTTTGGAGGGTGGGTGGGGTGAGAAGAATTAAGGTGACATAAACCTAAATATTAAAATTAATTATGTTTCTTTTAAAGTCATAGTGACTATTTTTCTCCATGACTGTAGAAAAGGTAAACTAACAGATTAGCTATTCATAGCATGATACAAATTAAACATATAATTTAGTCCCTAGATGAAGTGACTACTCAGAAATGCTCTTATAGTAAAAGATCTTGGTTGAATTACACACAATTCCCTATCAGCATGTCTTGGGGGAACTGAGGAACAGGATAAAGTGGAAACAGATTTTACACTTGAAGCAGATCCAGCAGATCACTAGAAATTTATCTCCCCAGTGAGTTATTAATAATTGAACCACAACTGGACTTTAGAGTTTTAGATACAAAGTCTTAAGCATGCTGTCCCCTTGATTACATGAGGCTGTAACCAAGGACAGACTATCAAATAAAAATATTTTATTAGACCATGAAAACCGTGTCTGCTCAATAAAAGTAGGAGGTAATATAACTGAATGTTAAAATGCCTTACTTAATGGTTATGTAACTCATGTGGGCTCAGTCACAGCCTCCGGGGTTATGATATGGAATTGCATTGATCATGGTCCTCACATTTTTAATAGGAGTGGTGATCGGCAGAGGCAAAGACAGGACCAAATTTGATACTTAGACACCATACAGAGGTAAACAATAAAAAGATTAATTTTCCCAGTTCCCATAGAAGAATTTTAGAATTACCTAAAGCACATCTGAATATTAACCATATTTCTCTTTATTGAGCATTTTTCCACCTTGTTCTAATATTTCAGAAGACAATTTGAAGAATATTACATTATATTAAATCCTATTATAAAATGGCCCACTTCTCTTTTTAGTTCTTTCTAAGCAACAATCAGTTTCTCTAGTAAAACTTAGGGTCAGGAACCAGTGCAGCCACAGGGTTAAAGTAAAGGTGCTCTTTGGCACCATTGGGCTTCTGACATGCAGGAAACCTATTAAGTGTTTTAAACTAGTAAAACATGCAGGCATGTCTTTCTCCCTTCTGGGTTACTTTTCTTGGCTTCTTCTTCTTACCCTGGAGATTGGGGTACTGAGGCAGCTGGACTATTTATGGCTCTGCACCTAAGCTGGCAGAAAGTATAGGGAAATGAAGGCCGTGAGTGAAGCTGTTGAGTCCTTCTACCTGAAGCAGAAGAATATCATCTTTGAATCACCTGCAGACTGTTCACCTGTCCCTCTTGTAGATGCTCTGCAAACTTATAAAGTCTTTTTCTCCTAAGTAGCACTTTTGAAGAGGACTAAGCAAAAGTAAAAACGATGTAAGTTTAACCTAATTAACTTTGTCATTCATTTCCAGCTAATGCCTGTGGATTCACTATTTTTGCTTAAGGAAATAGGTATCAGAATCTTGAACCTCAAGATGAAACGTATCACCAATCCCTAAACACTTGAATATCTAACTCAACCACACTGAACCCTATTTTAAAGAGGAGAGGAAAGGGGGTGATCACAAAAGAACACAGAAAAATTAAAAGGTGGATACTTGCAGTCCCTCACGAAGCAGGACATGCAAAACCTACCTACATCCTTAAAATATTTTGCCTCATTTGGAGATATGTTAGAAAACTTCAACCAAAAAGTAGACACTCTCACAGGAGAGAACAGAGAAACAGAAAATCTAACCCAACACGAAGACTGCAAACTTCAGCTTGACAGCATCACTAAAATAATAAATGATTATTTTGCTTAAGTACAAACTGAATTTCAAAGTGGTATAAAGCCACAATTATACCAATTGAGGATAGTCATCACATTGTCAAATCAAACAACCTAGAGAGTAACTGGTTTGATAAAGGGAAGTCTCAAGTCCTGAGCAATTTTCATCTTCACAGCAAGTCCCAAGAGTTCCCTATGCAGTTACAATTTGTATTACAGAAACTGAGGCACAGGAAGCAGTAAAAACAGTTTCCAGATTTAAACTGTTGCTGCAGAAGTTGAGGAGACAGGTACTCAAAAGGAATCATCTCCTTGTTTCCCAGGACATAATTTGTAGGTGTTCCCCGGCACCTAGAAATAGAGTTCTGGACACTAAGTCCCAGTGACATTACTCCCGTATGCACTGTAGCTTTTCAACAAAAGTCAGTCACAGCACCTAGTTCAAGGAACTATCTGACTTTTTTTTCAAGTGCTGGAACCCAGCAATAATGCTGAAAACGAAGAAGTCACCGGCCTTCATAGCCGATCTCCCAATTAGCAGCTTCTAAATGCTGATACTGCAAGTCAGGTACTACTTTTCAGTTTAATAAAATCATCATCTGCATCACATATGGGGGAGGCAAGGCTTAATCAAGTGGCTAGAGGCATGTTCAGTTGCATTTACCCTTATTTTCAAATAATTCAAATACATTGAGTGCGGCTAAGTAAGGAAAGTTTCATCTACACAAGAACTCCCCCTACTCCCGCCGGGCAACCCTGTGTGATTTAAGCACATTATCAGCATAAATTACATAACAGGAAACTAAGGTTAAAGCAAGATGAAGAGGTGGGGAAATGAAAAGATTTTCAGGTTAAGAAGAGTAAAAACAGAAAAATGGGTTACAAATGAGGAGAAAATCAGACAGAAAACAAAATGAAAACAAACCTTGGCTTTAAAAAAAAAAAGAAAAAGAAAAAGAAAACCAGTGTCTGTAGCGCGGAATGGCAAATTCCCAGCCCCAAGTCAGCCCCGCTGCAATTTGGTAGCGCCGACCTCGGGAACTAAGCACAACTCCCCAAGGCGGAGGCTGCAGGGAGCTGCGGGAACGGACCTAGAGCCGACCTGACATCACTCGCAGAGCCCTCCTCCAGGTCGCCCTCTCGGCCCCTTCCCTCCCTCGCGAGGTCCCAGACGCGGCGCCCCGCAGGGCACGCCCCCCGCGCCCACCGCCGCGGGGTCCCGGGCGCAGCGACCGCGCCGGGCCGGAGCCGCTGACCTGCTCGGTGCGCCTCGGGGCCAGCCGCTCCCCTCGGCCGCCTCTGCCCTCCCCGGGCCGGCCCCACCGGCTGCCACCGGCCCGGGCTCTCGCGCCCCTCGGACCCCAGCCCCCAGCTCCCCGGGGCCGGCACGCTCTCCCGGGACTCACCGGTGGGACTGGGGAGAAGTTGGAGGCTGCCGAGCAGACACATCCGACCAATGAGCGCGCAGGGCCGGGCGCGGAGCCCCGCCGAGCGCCGGTCGGTCCGTGCGTCCTCCCAGGCGCGCCCCGAGCGGCGCGGGCTCCGGGCGGCAAGCTGCGCGCCGAGCCGAGGCCGGACTCCGGGGAGGTTCCGGGCCCACCTCGGCCCGGGCCCGGTGGCGGCGGGGAAGCGGCACCCGGGGAGACTCACCGTGGCCTCTCAGCAGATCCCGCGCCGGGAGTTGGGCGGCTGCTCCCGCCTGCGCTCGGTCAAGCTTCTCCACTTGCACATCTCCGCGCCCCGCGCGTCTCGGCGCTCACCCCCCCGCCTCGCCGCCGCAGGACCAGCGAGCCGAGCAGTTCCCCGGGTGACCTGAAGGTTTCCGCTAGGTCTCCCAAGCCCTGTCACACCGAGTGCCGGGGCGGGCGGCGGGGGGTGACGGGGAACCCCAGTCCCCACCTCACCCTTTCCCAAAGGGTTTTGCCAAACATTCTTGGAATTGCTTTGCTTCGGGGCTTTCAAAAAACAATGCATTGCCTCTTCAAGATTCTTAAGAAGGTCCTATTTCTCTTCTCAGTGAACCTGATACAAAAATGATTCTTTTTCTCATATTCTTCTTTCGCTCGCTTTCTCCTCTTTCTCCCTTCACCCAAGCTTGCTTCCTTTCTCATTATTTAATTTCCCTCCTTCATTTTTGCCTTTCCCTCTTTCTTTTCTTCCCCGACCCCTCCCTTTTTCCTTCTTTCTTTCCTGCCTTTCCCCCCTCCCTCTTTGCTTTCTCTCTCTTCTCTTTCTTCCCTTCTTTTTCTTTTTCTTGGTGAGACCAATAGGAAGACAAGAGCTACATTCTGTGCTACAACTCTCCCCTCCCGCCTCCTGACTCGAGGGAATCTGTAATGTGTGCACCCGAGGACTTGGGGATGTGAAGTGAGAGAGACCGAGAGAAGTAAGCTAAACTGTGTCTCTACCTATGAAAATTAGCTTTAATGTGTCTGGACTCTAAGTCATTTTAAATGCATTTAATGCAGCCAAATAACATACCATTTTCATATAAGACATGTATGTGATTCCTTCTCAAGAAGATTAAAAAACAAACAAAAACTTTTTACACAAAGTGGATTCCTCTGTAAGAGCTGCCTTGAGCAGCTATAAAAGTCAAGGGCTCAGAAGAACTGAATTTCCCCTAATTTTTATTTGCTTTCATGATTTTTAGTTCAATTATTCAATACCAAGTATAGGTAGTTTTCACATTGATCCTTTCCTTCTTTTGAATCACAGATAATTGCAAACACACACACACACATACACACACACCCTGGGAAATTCATTCTGAAATACAGGTGAGTTTTCCCGAATTTGCAATGATATGTTTTTAACATCAAAATGTCTCCCTCCTTGAAAGAATAGACCCTTATAAGTGACAAATTTTACATCCCTTTCATTTGTAGAAAAAACTGGAGAACAAGCAGAAAAAGTGATACTTGGTAATGAAATAGTAAATGGAATACAATAGAGACACATTTTAAAAAGTTAAAACAATCATTATATAATTATATTAATATAGAGAAATCTAGTTTATCAACTTCAAAAGTACTCTCTCCATATCTTTATCTATGGTTTACTCTTTTGGTGAATGTTGCAGACACCACTTGCACCAGCTCTAAAATATGGATGTAGTTACTTACCTCACAAATGAACATAAGGAGTTTGGCTAAGTTAAAACCACTGGGAAGAGGTACAACTAGAATTTGAACACAGTTCATTTGGACTCAAATGCTGAGTTACTGTTATCCTCATTTTACAGAAAGTATTGAAGCAGAGTAAGGTGATTTAATAAAATTCATTCTGTGAGAAATCTAGATCTAACACTTCACTGCTTAATTTTTATTACTTTTCAGCTAAATTACAAAAAATGTTATTTCAATCAACAGTGAATTAAAATGAATTAGAAAACTCTTCTTCTTTTCAATGTAGCCAGCCCTCTATTTCTTCTTATGGAGCCATGTGCATTAAAAATTTAATACATTTCTTCTGATTAACATAGTAATGAATGTTGGTTGTGTCTTGGCCAGAATAATCTCCAAATTTGCATATCAACAGGAAATGCAGGTTAAACTCATATGCTTGGTCTTAATTTTTCTATTTAAACTTTACAAGCTAGATTCTGTTTTCTAATTTGCACAAATATTTTAAACAGAAAATGTGCCTATGAAAGTAATAGGATAACCTTGCAGTTCAGAAGTATCTTATTGCCAATAGAAAATAAGGTGGTTGGATTTGTTTATAGTATCTCTAAACTTAGAGCTGAAATTTGAAAAAAAAAGGTAATTTATTTAAACTTTTTAAAAATAAAGACTTGTTACTGGAAACTTTTCAGACAATTCAGTTATAAGCATATATCATATTTAATTATATCTTGTTGCAAGAAAAAAAATAAACCCTGCAGGAAGCTGATTCAAAGATTCACTCTTGATAGGGATATTTTAAAAGGAAAAAAAATAGTGGATATAGAGTATACAGCAAAAGAAAAAAAATGCATGAAGTTATTTTTAGATTCTGCCTTTTAGCTGATAGTCAAGAGTGTGTGTTTCCCACAAGAAGTCTTAATCTCATTAACGTTCACCAGAAAGTTAAGGGTTTTATCAGGTATGGTAAATCTCTTCCAAGAGGTTATGCAGGTTTGAGATTTCTTTCTTAAGAAATCTAATAAAGCCCCAGAAGGAAACTCAGAAACTTGAGGTTTACAGACATTGTCCAAGGTCCTGCACTTTGGGGAGTCGTAGGGATGGACGAGAAAGTAGTCCTCCTGGCTTCACACAAAGTTATTAAGAGTGGAACGCATGGGTTCTGTCAAGGTGCAGAGTAGTTCCCTAGAAGCTGTCTCTGTAGGCAACATTTAGAAATGCTTGATAAAGTATATGTTAAAGGCCCTTTAAATGAACCATCCAGCCAGAAAGAAAGTGAAGGAAAACCTCAGAAGCCAAAAATAGAGAGAGCCAGAGATCTAGAGGGTTTGTGAGTGCTGAAGATGATGCTGCCCTAGAGCATCTACGTGTCTTGGAGGCTTCACCAAATGTAGGTGAGTGAGAGCGTTGGTTTTATCAAGACTTTTATACAAAGTTTTGTCTAAAGCAAGTTGAAAATACTGAACAGAGATTTCTATGTGAAGCTGACCACGGAAAAGAAACGTCTGTAGTGAAAAGGTGAACTGGAAAAAATTTAAAACTAAACTCAAACCCATTCTCACCACAACCCTCCCCTGCCCCCAACTCCACTCCCACATAAATGTATTTTCTTTTTTCAGCTTTGACTCAGGCAGGTAAATTTACACCAAAAAGTTTCCAGTGAAAATTCATGATTAGAGCAGACTTAAGATGGATGTAAGGCTAGAATTTATACTAATTATGTGGCCTGAAAAGTCCCAAGTTAGAAATTTATAGTAAAGTGGTCCCAGCTAGACTGTGCCAAACAAAAATTGAGAGAATTATTACCACCTGACTCTCACTAAAGAAACTTACTGAGAAGGGATTCATGAAATAAAATGATACTAGATAGAACTGACATTCAAGAAGGAATGTTAAGCAAACTGTATAATAACAACATAGGTAAATCTAAGCAATCATTGGCTAAAAAAATGTATGGTGTTGAAAAAGAGTAACTGAAATACTGGACAATGGTAGTATCTGACTTGGGAAAGTGTTTTTTAGAGTTAAGACACTAAAGTACTTCCTTGTGGTGTTGGAAAGGAGGATAATGATATTGATTAACTTTAGTTTTATTAATTATGCATGTAGTAACCATTAAAAGAATAGAAATATAGTACATATAAGGTCAAATATAGCAGAAAAAAATAGAATTAAAGAAAGGCAATCTGAAGGAAAATAAGGAAAGAGAAAAAATGAAATATTAGAAAAGGACATACGTAAAGTACAAAATAAGATGGTAGAAATAAATCGATATATATTATTCACAATAAATATAATTAGACCAATTCTCCAATTAGAAGACAAAGATTGTAATATAATAAATAAATAAAATCCGGTTATCTTCTGTTTGAGACACACCTATAACATAAGACTATAGAATGGTTGAAAGTAGAATGATGGGAAAAGATCTATCAAACTAATATTAACCAAAAGAAAGCAGTGAAACATTATTGTAATCAGACAAAATAGACTTTAATTTTACCAAAAAGAGAGGAATCAATTCAATAGGGTGATAGAATTTTCAATTTGATTACATCCAGTAGCATAAATTAAATGTGTACTGCAAGAAAAAGAGAACTAGAAGAGGAAATTGATAATTCACCATGATAATGGGTGATTTTAATACACTTATCTCAGTATTTGATAAAGCATGTGCACAAATCAGTAAGGACATCAGTATAATGGTTGGAGCAATCCAGTCCAGGGAGGTGTCCCTGCACACTCGGTAAGACCTGTACCCAGGAGAGGGTTCTTGACTCTGATCAAGAAAGAATTCAAGAACAAGTTGGACGAGTATAGGTAAGGAAGGAATTCATTGAAGTGTGAGTGATACTGAATGGCAGCAGCCATGTAGGCAGCAGAGAACTAGGAAGAACAGAGGAGAGAAAGGGAAGTTCAGTGAACTCCTCCTCAGCATAGGGCAAATCCCTTGCCAACTCCTGAAGCCAGGGTCACCTGGCATCCTGTATCCACTTGAATGTTCACTTTGAGGGAACTAAACTCCTACCACCCTAGGATTTGGGGAGCTGTGGAGCACTAGATGGAGTGAGATTATGTCCTGAGAACTTCCTAAAGCAAAGAGGAGATTTTCAGGCAGGCTACTAAAAAGCATTATTGTACAGCTACAGTCCCATCCAGGTCACCCTGGGGTGAGGGGATCTTGCCAGCCCAAACCAGAGATCTTAGTAATCCTTCCCTACTTGTCTGAAGTAGAACACAGAGAGAAAAGACTTATGCTTAAATCTACAAAATTGAATGAAGTAGCATAGTAAAAAAGATACTTAACATTGGGAAAAGGGGTCTCTTATTAATCTCCCCAGAGGCTTGGGAGAGCGGAGACAAAATGCAGTAAGCTGAGCAGCAAGAAGGTTTTCTTTAGGGGAAGTACACAATTGAAGAAAGGGGAATACAGGCAGCCTCAGAAGAAAGGTGCACTTAAAGTCTTAAGATTTGGGTTTTTAAAGATTTCAAGAATGGGTCAAGGGCCCAAGGGGGCATAAGCTGACTACCGTCTCATGATGTCTATCTCTGGTGAGAGACATGTCATCATTCATAGTCTCTAGATATTCTCTAAGACAAACTTTACATATGGAATTTATCATCTTGTTCTTCTCTGAGATAGGGGTTACCCTCAAGCAATGGAAAATACCACTTACGACTACTTTTCCTGACTAAAGATAGG